GCTTTGCTGCCCCCTTGGGGAGTGTGGGCAGGTGGGTGAGCTTCTGGCCCATGTTCATCCATCCTGAATCCTGCCCCGGGCCCCACAGAAAGCGGTCGGTGGCAAGAAGGACCGGTCCCTCTTCCTGTTCACGGACCTCATCGTCTGCACCACCCTGAAGCGCAAGTCGGGCTCCCTGCGCCGCAGCTCCATGAGCCTGTACGTGGCTGGAGGGGGCCGGTGGTGCGGGTTCTGGGCCTCCTCCCTCCCTTGCCCTGGCTAGACCACCCTCCCGGCTCCCTGCAGGTACACGGCAGCCAGCGTCATCGACACGGCGAGCAAGTACAAGCTGCTGTGGAAGCTGCCCCTGGAAGACGCGGACATCGTCAAAGGTGGGCCACGTCCCGTTCTGAGGAGCCCTCCCGGAGGGTCTCTGCTTACAGCTTTGGGGCTTGCCTTCCCACCCAGCCCAAGGGTGCCAGCTGGGATGCAGGACTTTGCCGGCACCCTCAACCAGGCAGGGGTGGGGTGGAGCAGAGAGAGCAGGCAGCAGCACTGGGAGCCATCGATTCATCCGTGGAAACTCCACTAAGTACCTGAGGTCAGGTGGCTTACCTGCTCTGGTTCAGTGGTTGCACACGAGGAAGAGATACGCGCCCACGTAAGGCCTGGAGAAGGAGTGGCTGGAAAAGCCAGGCTGTGTGGCTGAGACAGCGCCACGGAGCCTCTCTGCCTGCCGTGTCCTCTGCCCTTTCTCACGGGGTGTGTGTGTGTGTGTGTGTGTCCACCCTGCACGGTGCCCCCGGTGGCAGGCCCATTTCCAAAGCCAGGAGTCAGGTTTAGCTCCATTTCTGCGCTCCTGCTGCCACGATCCCACCCAGGCCTTTCTTATCATTCTGCAGTCTGTGGCCTAGCCGTGTTCATCTATACCAGCTGCATGGGAACACGTAAAGGAAACTGTCAAAGCCTCCTTCCCCTGGAGGGTTGGACCTCTGTGTTCTGGCCCAGAGGGGTGGGGTGGTCACAGAGGTGCACCCCCAGCCAGGCAGTGAGGGATGCCTGTGGGACCAGGCTGGCCTACAGGACCAGCTACACGGAACTGTCAGGTGGGGGATAGGACAGAGAAATCAAAGGCAGAAGCTCGCTGCGCCCTCTCTGGTGGCGAAGGGAAGCCCTTGGCCAGTGTAAGTGGTGGCCGGAGGCTCTGTGGCTCCCCAGACACCCTGTGGGAGCCTGCAGCCCTGCAGAACACACACACACCCCCCTCGAGGAAGATGCACCACCAGGGAGCAGCATCAGTTGGAGTGGTGTAACCCGCTGAGCCATCTGCCTCTGATGCTGTGCTTGGGCCTGATGCCCAGTGCCATGTGACTTGGAGGCAGGCACAGCCCTGCTCTCAGGCCTGGGCTCTCCACGAACTGCCTGCTAGCTCGGACCTTGGGGACTTGGGGTGTATAAGGTCTCAGCGTGTCCAGCCATTCCCCATACCGGTGCTAAGTTGTGCACGAATGTGAGGTATGTCTGTCCAGGTCTTTGGTCCTTCCCTAATGCTGATCATTTTAAGATCGCTCCTCCTGAAGAACATCAAAACAAATCCATGAGAGCCGTAATAGCACCTTGAGCCTATCCACCTGAATCCCGAGAACATCTCAAGGAACAACTTGAATGCATTGAACGCGAAGGACAGAAGACCCCATGGGCTGTGGGAAAACATCCAGACCATCGGACACGAAAAAAGCAAAAGGTCACGGAAAGACAGGAAAGAAAGACAAGGTCAGATGGCTGTCCGAAGAGACTGCCCTGCGTCGTGGAGAAGCAGGGCGCACGGAAGCGATGACGCCGCCGGAGAGCAGAGCGAGTGCTCAAAGAGCCGCTCGAGGGGACAAGCTAGCATGGACGTGCGGAGACCTGGAGCGAGAAGCCAAAGGGCAGAGCGCGCCCAGCATATCGGAAACCGAAAGAACTCAAGGAAAACGCCAAGCCTCGCGTTGCGATCATGAAAGATCCTGCAGGTAAAATCCAGAACCATTCGGGAAGCATCAAAAGAAGATGGAAGGACTACAGGGCCACTGTGCTACCGAGAACTAGCGGACAGCCATTTCCAGAGGTAGCGTATGAGCAAGAACCAGTGGCACTAAAAGGAAGAGATCCAAGCTACATTGAGAGCATTAGCCAAAACAAGACTCCAGGAATTGATGGAACGCCCCCTGGACTGTCTCCCCAAGCACTGACGGTGCTCACTCCTCTGTGCCGGGACGTTGGGAAGACGGCTCACTTGGCCCCTGCCTGTCAGAGATCCACGCCTGGCCCCATTGCAAAGGAAGGTGACCCAACAGGATGCTCACACGATAGGACAGTATCACTGGCATCACAGGCAAGTCAAATGTTGCTAAAGATCATTCAGCAGCAGGTACAGCAGTGCAGTGACAGGAGCTGCCAGAAACGCCGGCTGGACTCACAAGACGATGTGGAATAAGGTACCCTTGTTGATGTCACATGGATAGTGGCTGAGAGCAGAGGATCCCAGAAAGATGTTTACTTGTGTTTTACTGACCTGCAAAAGCATTCAACTGTGCAGACCCTAACAACCTGTGGCCAGCCTTGAGAAGAACGGGAATTCCAGAGCACTTAGCACTTGGATCAAGAGGCAGCTGTGCAAACAGAGCAAGGGACTGGAGCATAGTTTAAAATCAGGGAAGGCGCATGTCAAGGTTGTGTGCTGTCCCCATTCTTAACTCAGTATTTTTGCTCAGCAAATAAAGAAGAGGGTAACCTTATTAACAAGCCGCATGAATATACAGAAGACGCTGCCTGGCTTGCTGAAAATGAGGAGGGCTTGAAGCACGTCTTGAAGAACAAGGTCTGAAGCCTTCAAGATGGATAACACCTTAAAACCAAAATCGTCACAAGTGGACCAGTGGGTACCATCATGATCAATGGGGCAAAGATTGAAGTTGTCGAGCATTTCATCTTGCTTAGATCCACAACCACTGCGTGTGGAAGCAGCAGTTAACAGATCGAATGACACACTGCCCTGAGCACATCTGCTTCACAAGACCTCTGTTAAAGTGTTGAAAACCTAGGGTGTTGCTCTGACGACTAAGGTGTGCCTGACCCAAGCCGTGTATTTTCAGTGGCCTCGTCTGCATGTGGCAGTTGGACATTGAATAAGGAGGCATCAATGGATTTGAATCATGGTGCTGGGAAGAATATCAAAAGAACCAGTCGGCTAAAAGAACCAACAAATCTGTCTTGGAAGAAGTCCAGCCAGCATGCTGTTTCGAAGCGAGGGTGGCCACGTTGTCAAGAGACCCTGGCATAGGACATCAGGCTTGGTAAACTAGAGGGGCAGCAGAAGACAAGACAAGATGGACTGATACAAACATAACAACTGTGAAGGTGGTGCAGGACTGGCAGTGTTTGCTTCTGCGGGGGAACGACGGAACTGTCCCTAACGGCAGCAGCCACCACCCAGGGCCGTGCTCACCCGGAGCAGGGAGCTGTCAGCAAGGAGCCTCCGGCTTTTTGCCTCTCTGTCCTCTGAGCAGTTCTTGCTTGCGACGCCCCTCCTGGTCATAACGTGCGTGCGTCTGGCACCTTGAGCTGTAAAAGACAAGCGATGCACTCCAGTGCCCTCACCTGGATCTATGGACTGAAACCAGAAGAGCACCAGGGACCGAGAGAGCTCTGTGGGCCAGATACCCCTCCTCTTCTGGCATAACTCCCATTTCCTTTCTACGTCAGTTGCTGTCCCCGATCATGCATGGTTTCTTTTTTCAATTTTATTACGATCATTTTATTGGGGGCTCTTTCAGCTCTTACAACAACCCAAACGCCCATTATGTGAAGCACGTTTGTACATATGTTGCCATCGTCCTTTTCAAAATAGCTACCTGATAATTGAGCCCTTGGTATCAGCTTCTCATTTTTTCCCTCCCTTCCCCACTCTCCCACCCTTCGGAACCCCTGATAAATTATCATTTTCAAATCTTACACCTACGACCACTGTCTCCTTTCACCCACACTACGTTTGTCACCCTGGGTGGTGATGTTTGTGTGTGTGTGTAGGGGGGGGAGGTTGTGTCAATCACTGCAATCAGTTCCCCCTTGCTCCCACTTTTCCCCCCACCTTGCCCCTACCCTCATGGTAGCACTACTCCCATTACTGTACATGCTCTGGTCTAGCCGGATTTGTAAGATAGAACTGGGGTCATGATAGTGGTGGCAGGAGCATGAAAGAACCAGAGGAACATTGTATGTTTCATCTGTGCTCTACTGCATCCTGACTGGCTCATCCCTTCCTTATGACCCTTCTGTGAGAGGATGTCCCCTTGTCTGCAGATGGGCTGTGGGTCTCCACTCCACCCCTGGTTTCCACTCCATACTCTGGATTTCCCATGACATCACCCTGGCTTCTCCAGCAGTCTTGCTGTATCACATTTTTTTTAGCTGCAGCTTCTGCGAAGGGGCGTCAAGAGTATGGGGAAATACCATTTTCTTTCGATCCCATTTCCTTCCACAAACTTTATGAAGCCCCCACGTGTAACTGGCCAGCCTGGGTCAAACTTAGATATTCTGATTGGCGTACCTCTTCTCTTTAGGGCATGCTAAAGGGTGTAGACCTCAGACCGCCTCCTAGCTGTTCCCTGGAGCCAGGGACTACCCCCAGAGCAGTCAGGGAGGGTGTCACATGACACCACCCATGAGGTGGAACACTCTCAGGTGTGCTCTGTCCGGGGCCACTCACTGCCTCCTCCACCCTGAGAAGCGCCCTGGGTGGCCTGAGGAGCCCTGATGGCACCCTGGACCGCTGGTCTGCTAACCGATAGGTCCTTGGTTCAAACCAACCAGTCACTTCCCGGGAGATGACAGCTCAGAAACCAACGATCTGGCGCAGTTCTACTGCCGCCCTCGGCGCCACCGTGGCCTCGCACCAACTGGAAAGCAGCAGTGAGGAGCTGCTGCCACCCAGTTACAGACGAGGAGACCGAGGCTGAGACGTGGAGCCTCGTGCCCACCTTTCCATCCAATAAGGGACCTTGATGGTGCTATAGGTTAGGCCTTGGCCTGCTCACCACAAGGTGGGCAGTTCAAACCCATCAGCTGCTCCACGGGAGGAGAATGAGGCAGTCTGCTCCGAGAAAGATCCCAGGCCTTAGAAACCCCTGTCTAGGGTTGCTGTCAGTTTGCCTCCACCTGGTGGCAGTTTGGTTGTTGGTGTGAAAGGACAGCAGCAGGATCAGGACCTAGCTCAGGTCAGCTGTGAAGGGCAGGGTCTCCTGTGCATCCTGCTGGGGCAGCAGTGCCCCTTGGGGACTGTGGGTATGGTTGGGCACGGGTCGGGCAGCAAGGGGCTGAGGCTGCAGCCGGGAGGGAGAAGGGCTTGGCCACCGGCCCCTGTGCCACGGCCTCTCTTGCTGACCTTGCCCAGGGGCCTCCCAAGCCACCAACCGGGAGAACATCCAGAGGGCCATCAGCCGCCTGGACGAGGACCTGAGCACCCTGGGCCAGATGAGTAAGCTCTCGGAGACCATCGGCTTCCCTCACCAGGTCTGTGCCCCCTGGCTGGGGGGTGGGGTGTCAGGGGTCCCCTGCCCAAGGGGTGAGACTGCCCTCCACACAGGCTGAGGGATGAGACTTCCCACCCCACCCCACCCCCACTGTTTCACGGTGGAGGGGGCCTACCTGGCTCCCTCCCCACCTGAGCAGGGAGAGAGAGCCGTCCTGTCTGTGCAGGAGGATTCCAGGCTGCCTCTTGATCTCGAGGGAAGACCGAGTCCCATTGCTGTACGAGGGGAGGGCTCGTCCCCGCAGGCTCCCAGAGACAGGAGAGGAGCCATGTGGGGGACGCTGAGGCGCAGGCCCCCTTCTCCACAGAGCGTGGACGACGCGCTGCGGGACCTCTCGGCCGCTGTGCACCGGGACCTGTCGGAGAAGCAGGCACAGTGCTACACGCTCTCCTTCCCGCCCACCAAGCTGGAGCTGTGCACCACGCGGCCCGAGGGCACCGACTCCTTCATCTTCGAGTTCCCGCACCCCGACGCCCGGCTGGGCTTTGAGCAGGCCTTCGATGAGGCCAAGAGGAAGCTGGGTGAGCCTGAGCCCTTGCCGGGACCTCCTCCCCTCGTGCCACCACACATGCACGCATGCCTGGTCATGGTCCACAGCCTACAAGATTCAGCTCCCTCAGTGTACCGATGGGGAAATTGAGGCCAAGCACAAGTCAGGCATACCCCACAGCCACCTCCTGTGGCTAGCATCAGGCCCCTCCTTAGGGAGACCCTGAGGGGCAGCGGGGGAAGCGAGGTGGGTTAGGGCCAGGACCAGGGTGAGGTCAGCACGGAGGCAGCGTCATCTCCCCCTGCCTGTCCCCTTACCCGGGTGTCTGCCCACCTTCCCCACAGCATCCAGCAAAAGCTGCCTCGACCCCGAGTTCCTGAAGGCCATCCCCATCATGAAGACCCGCAGTGGCATGCAGGTGGGTCGGTGGGGGGCGGGGAGGCGCACCTCTTGCTCAGGAGGTCTGTCTGGTTTGCGGCATTGGCGTACATAGCTTGAACATGGAAATTGCTCCGTATGTCTTGGACAGTCTGGCTCTCTGTGGAGACCGCATAGGTCCCGCATATACACGTTTCATGCATGTCTTTACCTGCATCTGAGTATTGGCTATACCTCAGGTGTGATGGCACCTAATTCACGTGCTTGTTTGTATGTACATGTACGGAGGTTACCAGGGATGTATCTGTAATAATGTGTACACATTGTCATATTCCAGGGAACTTCAAAAAGCTCAAGAAATCCCATTATCTTTGCCTTCTACTTTTCCACAAACTTCTTGAAGTACTTGCATGCGTGTGCGTGTGTTTGTGTGTGTGTATGTGCGTTTGTGTGTGTGTACATGCAAGGGCGAGTGATGTTGGCATCGCAGGACTACGTGTGCTGTGTGTGGTTGTGTACATGTGTGTGCAAAGGGGGCTCTGGGATCAACAGACACCTGGTTTCCTTCCCTCTGTCCCCAGGGTTCTGCTGGTGTATGTGTTGGGGGGGTGGGGCAGAGCCTCGGGAGGCTGGCAGCAGCTCACCCACTTACCTACCTACTGGCATTTCCCACAGTTCTCCTGTGCAGCCCCCACCCTGAGCAGCTGCCTGGAGCCAGCGCCCGAGGTGTGGGTGTGCAACAGCGACGGCTACGTGGGTCAGGTGTGCCTGCTGAGCCTGCGGGCCGAGCCGGATGTGGAGGCCTGCATCGCCGTCTGCTCCGCCCGTATCCTCTGCATTGGGGCAGTGCCCGGCCTGCAGCGCCGCTGCACCCGGTAAGTGTCCGCCCAGACAGGCTCTGAGAAGCCACGGTGGGGCGGGGGGAGCACTACACCTTCACCCCCTCACTTCCTTTCGGTTATCTCTCGGGACAAGGTGCCCTGGTGGCCCAATGGTTACGAGCTGAACTGCTAACTGCAAGGTTAGTGGTTCAAGCCCCCCCACCCCCAGCCTCTCTGAGAGGAAGATGCGACTCTCTGCGCCTGGGCAGACTGACAGTCTCGGGAACCCCAGGGGGCAGCGCTCCTTGGTCGCATAGGGCAGCTGAGTCAGAAACAACCTGACAGCCGTGGGTCTGGGGGGTTTTCAATCACAGGGAACGACCTCCCTCGCTGAGGAGCCCTCCTGAGACAGGCCCGGAGCCTGCAGGGCCAGAGCTGGACCCCGAGGCCACCGCAGGCGAGGAGGCCGCCACACTGACTGAGCCGGGGACCCAGCCCTGCCTGCACATCTCCATCTCAGGCTCAGGCCTGGAGATGGCGCCAGGCCCTACGCGGGGTGACCCGCGCCCAGATCTGGTGCCTTTTGACAGCGACTCGGATGACGAGTCTTCGCCCAGCCCCTCGGGGACCCTGCAGAGCCAGGCCAGCCGCTCCACCATCTCCTCCAGCTTTGGCAGTGAGTTCCCGCAGCGTGGACCGCCCACCCCAGGGGCAGCGGGGTGGTCCTGGCGGGTGAGGAGACGGGTGTGCTGTAGGTAAAGACAGGGGTGAACCTTGGGCGGTTAACACAGAAGAAGGAGTCGGTGAGGCGGAGGGGCTGTGGCACTGAGGGCCCAGGCCAGCCTGGCGGTGAGGAGCAGGCGTGCCCCGTTAAGATGGGTGCAGGGCCGGGCTCTGCACCCACCGAGTGTCAGCAGACCACAGGAGCCTGGGCTACAAAGGGGCCCCAGGGTGCTGAGCTGTCCCTGAGCGGGTGGGGGGACGAGGCCTTGGGAGTAGGGAGGGGCCGCTGTGGGAAGGCATGGCCAGGAAGGGTAGATTGAGGGCAGACTGGGGAGCTAGCAGACCCCACCCTGGGGTGGGAGGGAGGGAGCTGGAGTGAGAGGACCCCCGTTCCTTTAGACGAGGAGACACCGAGCTCCAAGGAGGCCACGGTGGAGACGACCAGCTCGGAGGAGGAGCAGGAGCCTGGATTCCCGCCGCTATCCAGCTCTTTCGGGCCTGGTGGGCCCTGTGGCGCCAGCCCCATGGATGGGCGGGCCCTTCGCCGCTCCAGCCGGGGCTCCTTCACCCGGGGCAGCCTAGAGGACCTGCTGAGCCTGAGTTACCCTGAGGCCTACCAGAGCTCCGTGTGGCTGGGCACTGAGGATGGCTGGTAGGAGCTGGGGGCGGGATGTGGGCAGCCCGAACTCTCCACTTGGGGAATCACAGGGCCCCCTAAAGTAGAGAGCAGGGGTTGTGTCAGACTCGGATACGGCCAGCCCGGCTGGGGGTAGGAGAGGGTCTTAAGCCACACCAGGAGCTCCGGGGGAGCTGTGGAGGTGGGAGGGAGTGTAGGGGCTGGCGTGCCCAGACCTTTGCTCCAGGAGTGTTCCCTGCCTGCAGCGTGCATGTGTACCAGTCCTCCGACAGCATCCGGGATCGCAGGAACAGCATGAAGCTCCAGCACGCAGCCTCAGTGACCTGCATCCTGTAAGGCCCCCCGACAGCCCTCCCCAACCAGCATGCAGGCCCTAGACTGGCTTAGCCATCCCCCCACCCCCCCACCCCCTGAGAACTTGGAGGACAAGAAGGTGGGAGGAGCTGGTCGCTTCTGAGCCGTGGTCCACTTGTTGGTGATTCCCAGGGGCCCCTGTGTTGGCCTCTCAAAACCGGCCTCCTCCTCGTTTCCTCGTGTAGGTATCTGAATAATCAGGTGTTTGTGTCTCTAGCCAATGGAGAACTTGTCGTCTACCAGAGGGAGGCAGGTGAGTGCTGGCCCAAGTGCTACCCGCTCCTGAACTGGGCCGGGGGTCCGCAGGCGTGGCTTTGGGCAAACCCCAGGTCCTCGGTGGGTCGGAGTGCCCTCGTTCATAAATGGCGAGGTCAGTGCTCACCGCAGGGGACCGGGACACTGAACTGAGCATGCTCTTCTTCACCCCCTTCCCACCTAGGTCGTTTCTGGGACCCTCAGAACTCCAAATCCAGGACGCTGGATGCCCAGGGGAGCCCCATCACCAAGATGGTGTCTGTGGGTGAGCGGCTGTGGTGCAGCTGCCAGAACCAGGTCCTGGTGCTGAACCCCGACACGCTGCAACTGGAGGTAGGGGTCCAATGAGCCACTAGAGGGAGCCGAGGTGGTGGGCTGTGCAGGAAGGCCCCAGAGGGCTTGGGCCGCTCCCCTGACCAGTACGCAGTACTGGGTCGGCCCCTGTCCGTCCCTGAGCTGTACTCTTCTCGGGGGACAAGGAGCACGGGCATGTCTGTGGACGTCGGCACTCCCACCCCAGCCTCAACTCGGGTACTCGAGGGCCTGCAGAAACCTGGGCACAGGTTCCTCCTGACGTCCCCTCGCAGTCAACTCTGGCCTTCAATCCCCACCTCCTTCCAGTCCCCCTCAGCCGTGCCCAACCTGGGTGGCCTCCAGGGGTAACGAACTCCCTGATATCTCCCTCATTGGCCCTGTCACCTGCTGGGCTGGGAGGGGTGCCCCGGGCTCAGGTCCCGGCTCTGATAGACTTGCTGGGTGGCCTCTGGCAAGTGACTTTCGGCCTCTGGGCTTCAGATTTCGCAGCAGCAGCCAGGACAGGTAGATCCCCCACCCACCCTCCTCTTCTCTCCACCTCCCCCCACCCCCCACAGCACACGTTTTACGTGGGACAGGACTCCAGCCGCAGCGTGGCCTGCATGGTGGACTCCAGCCTGGGCGTGTGGGTGACGCTGAAGGGCAGTGCCCATGTGTGCCTTTACCACCCGGACACCTTTGAGCAGCTGGCAGAGGTGGACGTCACGCCTCCTGTGCACAGGATGCTGGCAGGTACTGACATCCAACAACCCCCCCTCCTGCCCAGCCTTGGAGCTTGCTGCCCTGTCCCTGGGGAGAGCAGAGGAGAGCAGAGCCAGGGTCTGGCCCCAGCTCCGGTCCGTTCCCCCCCAGCCTCTGACGCCATCATCCGGCAGCACAAGGCAGCCTGCCTGCGGATCACCGCACTGCTGGTGTGCGAGGAGCTGCTGTGGGTGGGCACCAGCGCCGGCGTCGTGCTCACCATGCCCACCTCACCCAGCACCGTCAGCTGCCCACGGGCGCCCCTCAGCCCCGCCGGCCTCGGCCAGGGACACACCGGCCACGTCCGTTTCTTGGCTGCCGTCCAGCTGCCAGACGGCTTCAACGTGCTCTGCCCAACCCCACCACCTCCCCAAGACACAGGTGGGTCTGCAGCACCGGGCCCAGCCCAGGGGCTTCCACTTGTGGCTTAAGATCCCCCTGCCCGCTTGTCCTAACGGGAGGTTTCCAGTGCCCATGTGGCAGACATGACAGGAAGTAGGCTGTGGAAAGCCCAGGATGCATTTCAGTGTGTGTGTGTGTGTGTGTGTGTGTGTGTGTGTGTGTGTGTGTGTGCAGAAGGATCGTTTGGGGGGTGGGGCTGGGGGTTAAACAATAGGCTAAGAAGTAGAACATAGCCCCGGAAGATCACCTGTCACAGCCCATGAAATGGGAGGAGGAGGTGGTGTGCAGGGCAGGAAGTAGAATCCGGAAGTGACATACAGAGCAGGAAATGGAACGAGCACCAGAAATCAAGGCATCAAAGGGCACAGGGGACAGGAAGTGGGGCCAAGAGCTAGAAAGGAACACCTCCTGGGAAGCGATGGACATCCAGCAGGTCCGACGTAGAAGAAAGGCTTGCAGGAAGGCCAGGAGGCCACATGCCCTGGAGGAAGTGGGGTGTGGGAATTAGGAAGCATAAGGCCTTGGTTGGGAGCTGCCTGGGTCCCGGAAGCAGGCCAAGAATGGTAGGGGAACTTGTATGAGCCCAGGAGCCATGGTGCAACGGGTAAGCCCTCCACTACTGACCACAAGGTCCGTCCGTGGTTCGAAACCATCCAGCGGCTCTGCAGGAGGAAGCAGTGTTCCTGGAAAGAGCGCAGCCAAGCAGACAGTCCCTCTCTGTCCCTGAAGTCGCCATGACTCAAAACCGAACAACCGGGATCTAGGGAGACAGAAAGGGGTGCATCTGCCCCGGGGTGGGACGTCCTGCTTGAGAGGCAGCCCACAGGTCAGAAGTGGCTGGCCTGCCAGGAAGCAGGCCTGTCTTTGCACACACGTTCTAGGGCAACAGCAAAGAGACGACCTCGCAGAACTGTGCTGCCTGTCTCTTCTGGGGTGCGGAGGCCATGGCGGGACAGTGACGCCAACAGTCACTGCCCCTTCAGGCTGATGGCTCTTCCCGCTGCCCCCAGGCCCTGAGAAGCTGCCCTCACTGGAGCACCAAGACTCCCCCCGACACCGGGGCCCCGCCTCAGCCAGGCCGAAAATGCTGGTGATCAGTGGCGGTGATGGCTACGAGGACTTCCGCCTCAGCAGTGGGGGCAGCAGCAGCAGTGAGACCGTGGGCCGAGAGGACAGCACAAACCACCTCCTCCTATGGAGGGTGTGACCCTGTGCGCCGGGGCCCAGGACTCACCCGTCCACTCGCCCGGCCCACTTGCCCCTTCTTAGCCCCCACACGGCCTCTGAGCAAGAGCACCTGCCGGGGGTGCATGGCCCCTCCCCGTCTGCATGGACGCGTCCTGATGGACACCGCTGGCCAGCTGGGCTCCGCTGACTGACTGCTCGGGCCACTTGGGGTGCGCAGTCTGGATGGTGGGGCATGCAGGCTGCCAGGACCTCTGTCCTAGGAGCTTCTACCAAAGACACGGCCGGGCCTGGCCCCCGGGCGGCTGGGAGGGCCATGTGCAATATTTGGAGGGTAGTCTGGGGCACAGGAGACCGGGGGACGGAATCCCTTCCCGTGTACAGTATTTATGTTCCTTTGTCCCATGAATCCATTCCCAAGCACTTATTTATGCAATGACCTGAGGCAAGGGGTGATGTGGGGAAATGACAGGAGATGGGGCGACCCTATTCTTATCCTGGGGCTGCCAACTGGGATCCTAACAGCCTTCCTGGAGAGACCAACACCTCTCCCTCCCAATTGCATCCCCCCCCACACACACACACATACCCGAATTCACTGGGGCACCATCAGGCACTAACCCACTGCCCTTCAGCACCAGGCACGGGGCACAAGGTCCCAGGCTGAGTGGGCTACCCTCCGTTAGGCAGTCAAGGACCAGGGCCCCTCAGTGACCCAAAACAAGGGGGTTGCTGTTGGGGGTAGTGACTCCCATCTGTGGGGGCGGCCTCCCCAGCCTTGTCAGCACATCAGCAGTGCCTTCCTGTTGGGGCCTGCTGACGGGCAGCGGCTGGCTCTTCGAGTGGCCGGTGCTGCCCCGTAGGAGGGACGAGCCCTCTGGCTCGCTCTCCTGTAGTGCCCCCTACCCCCACCCCCTGCCGCCTCGTGTCTTATGCACTGGTACATAGGGTCACAGTGGGGGCAGACCTAGAAACCCCTCACTGACCAATGACCCCCTCTTCCTGCTCCCCCTTCTGCCAGGGGCCTCCCCGTGAAGAAGGAGCCCAGAGCTAAGGGTCGGACAGCTCCTGCCTGAGGGCTTCCTCTCCCTCCCCCTACGAGCCCCTCAGCCCCCCGCTTCTCTAGCTACTACTCCAAAGTTGTGGTTTTTGGGGGGAGGGAGCTGTTCTGTTGCGTTTGAATTTTTCGTTTGGGGTGGGTGGGTCCCGGGGAATCATAGATTGTGTTTCTCTTGCTACCAAATAGTCCTGTATTAACTCTGGGTGTTGACGTTTCAAGAGTCAATAAATAGAAACGTCCACGTCCGATCCCCTTGGCAGCCAAGCGGCCTCCAGCCAACAGCCCCGGACCTCCCTCCCTGAGTGAGCTTGGGGGCCTCCGGGAGGCGAGGAGGGACAGCCAGGTGCTACTCCGGGCCCTGGGGTGGGTCGTCACTCCCTCTGGGCTGCAGTTTCCTCAGGAAAATAAGGGGTTGTGCTAGCCCAGCGCTGGGCAGCCAGGCTCTGTGTGCCATGCCCCAGAGGACGGAGATGAGAACCACAGCACGTGTTGTTACCCAGGAAGCAGCTGGGAGCCTGGCACAGGCTCCCCCAGTAACGCTGCGTGAGCATCAGGGGGTGAGGCCCGTCAGGCTGTGGAGCACAGCTGGAGCCCCAGGCAGTCAGTTTCTGGTCAAAGGGGGGTGACTATATCCAGACAGCCAGGGCCGGGCTACCTGGGCCACTGCAAGGCCCACAGCCTGTCGCACCACGGTCGCGCTCCGAGCAAGAGGACAGCCGCCAGAGAAGGGCGGAGCATGCCTCCCTCGCTGAACACATGCTTGGATCGGCTCCAACCTAAATGAGTACGACTTTTCTACAAACTCCATTCCTAAAGGGGGTGCAGGCTTAGGCTCTGCAAACCAGCACACACGTCTCCTCAGGGAGGCTACATCCGCAGCACTGCAGGACATGGGTGCACGGGAAAAGCCCCCCCCAACTCGGAGGATCTTGGGAAGAGGCGTACATTAAAAGGACTGAGTGCAGAGTAGAAGGCAACACTCAAGTGGATTGTCTGGGGATGGAGGGCTTTGAAGCTGGACAGAGAGACTTAGCTTGAAATCCTGACTTGGCCACGAACTAACTGTGACTGGGTGAGCTGTCCCGCCACCTGTCCCCCTCCCCCCAGCCTGAGTTTCTGCATCTGTTAGAGCAGTGCTTCTCAGCCTTCCTAATGCCTCGACCCTTTCACACAGTTCCTCATGTCGTGGTAACCTAACCATACAATTATTTTCGTTGCTACTTCATAACTGTCATTTTGCTACTTTTAGGAATCTGGCAACCCCTATGAAAGGGTTGTTTGACCCCCAAAGGGGATCTCCACCCACCAGTTGAGAACCGCTGTGTTAGAGGGAGACTATGCAGAGAGAGGTCTTTGCCTTTCAAAGAAGAGTGACCGGGCAGCAAGGGCCCATGGGAAGGAAGCCCGGGCCTGGTCTGCTCCGTCTGCTCCGCTCAGGTTGCTGGTCTCACTGCCTGCCAGCTGCTGCCTCAGAGCCTTTGCCTGTCAGCAGCGACTGGCAGACCGGGCAGGTAGACATTGAGTGCCAGCGCTGGGTACCCACAGCACAGTGCCTCCACAGGAATGGGCTCGGCCCGGACCACCATGACCTGGAAGGCCACCCTCCCAGGCAGTGACCAGCCTGTGGATAGCCAGCTTCAGCCAAGTGGTCAGCCCTGTGCCGGCCACTTGTGGACGAGAGATCCTGAGATGAACTGGGTCATGCCCCAAGCCCTCAGGGAATCTTCTAGAAAGACTAGTTCTTAGTCTTGGCTGCACATTGTAATCACAGGGGGGTTGGGTGGGGAGGGGCCCTGGTGGTGCAGTGGTTAAGGCACTCGGCCCTTTGTTAGCCACCCCATGGAGAAAGATGTGGCAGTCACTTCCGTAAAGATTTATAGCCTTGGGAACTTTGGGGCAGTTCCGACATGTCCCCTCATCAGTCAGCGTGAGCCTGAAGTTGATGGCAGTGAATGTGGGGGGACCCAGATCAGTTAGAATTCTGAGGATGGGACCCAGATACCAGGTTTTGGGGGGTTTGGTTTCATTTCTGGAAAACCATATTGTTTGAACAAAAGGTGCACCAGTTACCCGTGTTCCGCTCGACAGATTTCCATAATGTGAACTTACTCGGGCCGACTCGGTCACTCCGGAAAGCTCCCTCGCAGCCTCACCCAGTCTGCCCCAGCCGGACCTACCACTCGGACTCTGGCACCATGGTTTTTGCCGGCGATTCCAACGCGGAGTGCTGGGGAGAGCCTCGGCGTGGGAGGATGCGGCCGTGGGATGGAGGAAAGCAGGACTTGAGTTGGATGTGGAGAGAGGACAACTTGAGCGAAGGCCATAAGGGGGTGAGCCTGACATGGGGGTCCCTGGTACAGCCCCAGCCAGAGCAGAGAGAGAGGAGACCGGGGAGGGGAGGCTTTGTTTTGTTAGGGGCTCTGTCCCCAGCCCTGCTACAGGGCCTGATAACACACAGTAGGTGCTCAATACTTGTTGAATTGGATCGCTGCCAACTCTAGGCTCTGAATGCCCGAAATCAACAACTCCAGCGTTCACTGATTGGGTATCACAAGCCCCACCACAGCCCTGTGGGACCCGGGCCACCATCAGTCACTTCCAGACAGGGACAGAAACACCTTTCCCAGGGCCGCCCAGCTGTTGGAGCCCCATCCAGTCTGTTTGCTCATGGAAGTGTCAGGGGGGATTGGGGGGGGGGCAACAACTGGCGGTACGGAAAAAGGAACCTGAGTGGCCAGAACCATATCCAGTCCCTCTCCAGGGCCCGACTCAGGCTCCTCAGCCCAGCTCCGAGCTGGGGATCCTGACCCCAGGGGACTGGGGAGAGTTGGGGCCAAAGGCCGGCTCCTCCCCAGAGGATTCTGTAAGGGTCTGCAGAAGTGGGTCCCTTGGTCTAGGAACAGAGGACCAGATTCAGGTGGGCCACCCATGCATGGGGAAGATGGGGCACTGAGGGACTTTCCTGAGGTCACACACGCACACTGAGGCGTGGGGGTGGGGTGGGTGGGACTCTGAAGGTTTCCTGGACTCGGGAGGCAGAGGGCTACATGAGCTGACCTCCAGGGACCTCATGGGCACAGAGGGAAGGCCTCAGCGCTAGTCTGTAGGTCCTGACGGAGTGGCAAGTGTGGCTAAGTCCCTGGCGGGGCCTGGAGAGGGGATGAACTCAACCTCAGCCCTGGCCTCCCCTTGCCGGGTGATGCTCAGCAAGTTTCTGCCCCTCTCTGAGCCAGGTGACCTCTGAGAGCCCTTCGGGTCCTCTGCAGGCTTGCCAAACCCTCTCAGGCCCAACGCCACGGCCCAGGCTGCAGGAAGTGGCGAGGGGATGTGCTATTTTGGGCCCAATTACGGCCCTTGAGGAGCCCTGCCTGGCACAGGCCTCCCCTGCTGGGTCAAGGCAGACCTCAGGGCTGGGAAGGGAAAATGGTGAAGAGTGGGCATCAGGGGCGATGGGGGGCAGGCACCCAGGTTCAGCCCACCCTGCAGGCAGATGGGAGATCACAGGAAAACTACACGAAGGAAGGCAGGGAGAGGGCGCAGACAGTTCATGAGCCCAGGGGTCTGGAAGGAGCCAGTGTCTCACCCCCACCCCCATGTGGGGTCTCAGCAGATACAACCTCTAGCTGAGCGATTTCAAACCGGAGAGGTGACGCCCCGTGCCTAAGACCACACAGTCCGACAATGGCAGACCACCCTGAACCCTTTCTGTGCCACACCCAGACTTCCCTCTCTCTGCTCCTTCACTTCAAATGCTCAAGTCACCTGCCTCTCTGCCTGGCTGGGCAGCCCCTGAGGTCCCATTGGCCCCACTGCCTGCAGTGTGTGGCTCTGAGCCCTCAGACCCACCGTGGGATCGAGACTTCCCCCAACCTGGCTCAAGCCAGAGGAGGACACAATGAGAGTGTTGCTCCTACCTGTGGGGGAGCCAACAGGATCAGGATCTAGCACCTGAGACCCCAAACCCAGCAGATTTCAGACCCAGGCCCAGGTCCATCCCTAAATGCAAGCTGACTTGGGCCAACTTAGCTAGAACTCATGCGCTGGCTGCACCCTGGCCTCCTGGCCTCAGTTCCTCTTCAGCCCAAGTCCACCGTTCCCCTAGAGCCAAGCTCCCTTCCCCATGCTGAAGGTCCTCCTGCCTTGGATTGTCACGGTGAGTTCCAGCGCAGCCAGCAGGAGGGGCCGCCGTGCCTGGCCCACAACTCCAGAGGCTGTGATCTGCTCAGATCTGCAAATAGCCACACCCGGGTGGCTCTGGGCCCTTGGCCTGGAACCCCCACTCTAGGCAGGGGCACAGTAGACGGAGGTCACGCCCTGCCTCCTGGATGTCCTCACAGCTCATCCCAGTCACTGGGCCCTCTTGCAGCGCCCCCTAGGATGAGCTGTGGGCTCACTTCCTCTGCTGCGCTACGACAGGTTCCACAGATGGTCTCTGAGAGCAGAGGGGCTGCGGGCTCATCTGGTTTCCAGAGCGAGAAAGCCCTGTGATCCTGAGAGTTCTTTGTTCTCCAGCTGTGCTTCGCTACACTACATAAAAAACCCAACCCAGGTCTCTCCTGTGGCCTCCACAACACTGCACTCCCAGGTTCCCAGGAAAGTCCTACCTGTAGTTTGGGAGCTGGGGTCAGGTAACAGAAGGGTCTTCAGTTCTCAGTAAATCACAATTCCCGCCCCTCCATCAAGTCCAATTCCCGCCCCTCCATCAAGTCGATCTCAACGCAGAGCAACCTTCTAAGGGCAGAGTAGAACTGCTTACAGGAGGGTTTCTCAAGGCCTGAGAGGCAGAGGTGCGGGGAGGGTCAGGGAGCTGCTTCTGCTGCCGCCGCCGCTGCCTAGAGTTCAGCGTGGTACACAGGGAGACCTGCCTCAGTTCCCCCACACGGAACCCTTGATCCCCATCGCTTAACCCTGTCAGAGCCAACAGGTGGCCGCCTCCCACCGAGAACTAGAAAGGAATTTGGGCAGCAATGTTCAAGCCAGCAAACAGTGATGGGCCGGGACCCTCCTAGGCTACTTGATTCAAACCCAGAGGCCTGGTGATGTCGTGAGTTACACATTGGACTGCTAACCACAGTTCAAATCCCCCATGAGACAGGAGAGGCTTTTCAGTCTCAGAAAGCCATGGGGGCAGTTCTCCCCTGCCCTGCAGGTGGGATTGATGAGTTGGAATCGACTCAGTGACAGCGAGTGAGTTGAGAGGTGGTCCCCACCCACAGAGCGCACCGCCACTTGGCTATTGAGCAGCACC